TGGCTCCCGCAGTCCAGTTCCCTGGACAAGCTCACCAGGCCTTCAGTTGTCTCAACTGAAATGTGGGGGAAATCAAACGTTTCTCCTCAGATTAAATTCTTCTCCCAAACCTTTTCAGTTCAGGAACTCAAAAGTTCTATGTGGATGACTTCCCACTCGTGTACAGGTGGGTGGCCAAACTACTGTTTAGTAATTTGAAGAAAAATAGAAACTGTGAGGCAAAGAGCTTCCAAGGCAGACCTGTGAGGGCCTGCTGCTGATGATCTGAGAAGCAGAACTCACGAATCCCTGGAGACGCTTCCCTCACGGCCCCCTGCCCACGGTCCCCCTGGGCCCATGGCCCTCTGCCCCCACGGTCCCCTGCCCCATGGTCCCCCTGCCCCATGTCTGAGGCCCTCTTCCTGCCTCTGCACTTTCGTGTGACTCTTGGCTATCATGGCTTGATAAACCAACCTCACGGAGCTTCTGGGCAGAACAGTCTGTGTCGAAATCTGTGTGAGGAAAGACGTGGACCAGGACACCCAGTGGACACGGAGAGTCTCCTTCAACCACATGCAAGGATTTGAAACGCTGACTGAGATCCAGTGAGCAAAGCTAGCTTATCAGCTTAGGCAGGTAAAACTCTTTCAAACCGTGGGTCCCTGAGGGCAAAGTATTTTTATATAGAAAGAGGTCTCTGATAGCTAGTATTCTGGCTGTCCAGCAGCCCCATGCTCCATCTCTGCAAACTGTCCTTTTTTTGAGGAATCCCCAGCCCCCCACATCGTCATACCCTCTTACTAAAATACGATCGTGACCTCGGTCACAACTCGTTGGCCCAGGCTGGCCAGGCCACCCAAGCTGGGCACACTGGAGTCCTTCCTCACAGTGTGTATAGACTAGACCTAAGAAGCAGGGCTGAAACCAAGAGTGTGGAACTGTTAGAAGCCATGTTCCAAGAGGTAGGAAAAAAATAAAATTGTGGGAGGGGAGGGACAATACAGTGGACTTCCTGGGTTCCCAACAGCCCGGGTTCTGTCTCTGTACATGTATCCAGCCGTTCAACAAGAGCTCGCTAGTTCAGATGGAGTTTCTATTACTAAGGCAGAGGCTTCAGTCATGAAAATGAGAAGTGGTCTATATACCACAGCAGTCGTACTGCTGTGAAGATGCCCACGTCTACCAGACGGAGTCAGCTCCTTCACATCTAGAATGTTCCTAGTCACCTCCGTATGCTTCACAGCGCTTTACACCTAACATACACCCAGTAAACATCTGCTGAATGTGATCGAAAAATATTCTCTGATATTTAAAAAACTGACGAATTCAGCTTCTCGTTTTCTGACTTTTTCTGGTCTATAGAGCAATAACCATCTGAGTGACCCTCACAGCTTTCTAAATGGGCCCATTGGGGGATGGGATGGGAACTCACACTGGTACAGAACTCCAGAAAAGGGCTCACTGGAACAGGAAGTGCTGAAACTTGGAGTGCAAACTGACTCTCAGAGCACAGCAGGGTGTCACTAATCATGGGACAGAACCCTCCGCCCACACAGGCTCCCCCTGCCAGTCACACACCCTGCACACCAGCTTCCCAGGTCCCACCCTCACCATCCTTTGAACCATTCTCACCAGGCCAAAAATCTCTCCTCCAGCCTGTCACTCCACGTTCCGAAATGTTTAACACATTCTTCCACTGATGTCCTGGCAAGCCACCTTCCCCCTGAAAGCAGCCACTTCTCCTGACCCCCCTACAGCTGCGACAAACCCCACATTCCCAATGAGGGATTATCAAGGCCATTACTGCCACATAACAGCATATGATGCAGTTATTGAAGACATTCTAATATATATATTGACCCGGAAGATGTCTGCAATACGTGCCCCCGGAAAAGCAAACCAGAATGTATAATGGAATCCATGTGTGAGTGTGAGTGTGAGTGTGAGTGTATGTGAGTGAGTGTGTGTGTGAGTGTGTGTGAGTCAGTGTGAGTGTGTGAGTGTGTGTGCGTGTATGTGTGCGTGTGTGAATATGTGAGTGTGAGTGTGTGTGTGTGAGTGTGTGTCTGTGTGTATGTGAATGAGTGTGTGTGTGTGTGAGTATGTGAATGTGTGTGTGTGTGAGTGTGTGTGAGTGTGAGTCAGTGTGAGTGTGTGAGTGAGTGTGTGCGTGTATGTGTGTGTGAGTGTGTGTGAATATGTGAGTGTGAGTGTGTGTGTGTGAGTATGTGAATGAGTGTGTGTGTGTGTGTGTCTGTGTGTATGTGAATGAGTGTGTGTGTGTGTGAGTATGTGAATGAGTGTGTGTGTGTGTGTGTGAGTGTGTGTGTGTGTGCATGCTCACAGACAGTATAATGCAGTGGTTAAATAGGCCTTGGGAGCTGGGCACATCTGATTGAATTTATAACGTCAGGGGAGGTACTTCTATTGTCAGTGATTTTTTAAAAAATACATACAAAACACTTTGGGTATGTATCTCATGGAGAAATTAGAAGCTGATGTATAGAAAGCATTTACATTGTGCTTACATTACACAGGAAATACCCCAAAATCTTACCAGTGATTATCTCTAGGTGCTAGGGCTGTAATTTTGAATTGCTTTTGCTTCACTGCACGTTCCATAAGAATCTGAAGTCACCTGATTGCTTTCATCACCTTCCCGGCTCTAATATATATTTAGTCAGCAGTTCTGCGCATCTGCTCCGGAGAAGCGTCTCCTGTATGTTCCGTGCTCAGGGGGCCCCACCTTGCTGGCGGCTCTGCCTCGTGCACAGCTCTATCACCTCCCGTGCATCCAGCTCTCCCTCCTACACCCTACACTCAAATCCATCTCTCAAGAGTCCAACTCTGCGCCACTCTCCTGCTTCACCCCTTCCCTGGCAGCCCTTGGCCCACCCTCCCAGCCCCTCTTGTTCCCGCCCACTCACAGTTCCTGCTTGCTGCCACTCTCCTATCGCCCTTTTCCCTTGTTAAAACCCTGTCGCTTCTGAGGCTTCCATGTCACTGCTGCTGGAAGTCAGCCCTCTTTCTGTGCTGGCACAAGACTTTTTAAAAAGGGATTAATCACATTCTGCCATGAATTCCAGTTATGTCCCTTGACACAGATTTGACCTCAGGCCTTCAAATTAAATAGATCAACACAAACTGTTCCTGGAAATAATTCAGGAATGAACTCCTAGTTCTTATCTCAGTGAGGCCCTCACAGTGGGAGCCTCAGCTTAAGGTGACCACTGAGACCCCCACCACCCCAGGTTAGTAAATCTCTTAAAAAGCCAAAAGACCAGAATACTTTCAAAGACCTTGTGACATTTCTTGAAAGGGACTTGTCAAAGCCTGTAGCCTATCTTATCTTTATCTCAGCTAAATATCAGACAGACTTCAGGATGGCTGTTTATTTTCCTTCTGCTTCAGACAGGCTTAGAGAGAGCTCTGGCCCAAGACATAATTACAAGGTTGTGGCTGTACTTGAGTGGCACCAGGAGGGACCTGGAAAATTACTTTTGGGATGTTGACTCCCAAGCCACCACAGCAAGACTCCAAAGCATGTTTATAAACCAGAGAGCGTCACAAAAGGAGTGGCCCCGAGGTTTTCCTGTCTCTGTTCCAGCATGGAACTTAAGCCGGGAGGACTCTTCCTATTTCACCCCCATATTTAAGCAACATCCAAGTTCAGACTGTAAACATACTAGGCATAGATTTATCTAATTGAAATGCAGCACTGCTGGTGTCTATAAATATTTATTCATAAATAAAAACAGTTGGCTTGGAATTTGAAGTCATTCTGTAAGAAGCTTAAAAATCTTTTCAAAGAGAATTGGAAATCACTTCAATGCCAGCTACAGAGTGAGAAGACAATATCTGATTTAAAAGTATTAACGCTGCTTTTTCTAGATTTAATTAAGTCTGTTTTCAGAACAGATACACTTCTGGGGGAAAAAAAGGATGCATAAATGGAATTTTTCTAACTGGTATCTTAATGCACCAGACGCATATTTAAAGGATTCTTATGACAAATCTTTTGGCAAATTTATTCTTGGGGGCAAAACAGCTTTCACATATTGGATTTCCTCAATGAAGTCTTTACCTCTACTGGGAGATGGAAAGAACCAGTGGGCAGATTCTAAAAAGAGGGGCAGCGGGCGGCGGCGGTGGGGAGAGGGGGGCGGGGTATCGTGGCCAGCGAGAGTTAGAAAGGAGGCAGTTTTTCTGTCCTCTTCTGGCCTAAACCGGGTGGAGAAAGCTGGGGAAAGGCTCGATAACACCTAAATCTGTCCTTGCCCTGCTTTTGGCGTCGCCCTAAATCGTGCGTCTTGGTCCAGAAGCAGCTAATGTACTTCCCTAGGACTGAAGCAAACTAAGCCCCATTGTTTGGAGCCCAGACGGGAGGACCCCAGCTGCCCGACGCAGAGAGGGGCTAGGTGCGCTCTCGCCCGCACGGCCGTCTGGAGCCTGAGGCTCCGACTGTAATCGGATTCTGCACGCGCCGCCTGGGGCGCCGGGGAGGGGCGCGGGCTGTTCCAATCTACACTCGCTCGAATCCAGCTGTCCCCATCCTGACAGGAAAGCACCACCGAACACAACTCTTAACCCCTTGGGCGCAGGGAAAGCCGTTCCCTGACACCGGAGGTCTGTTGCACTCTGGGGGGGAGGGTGGGGGGTGACAAAGCCACTCCTGCACCCAGGCCAAGGGCGAACCCCACGCCGCGCCTCCCGCCGCCCGGGTTTCCGAGCCAGCCGGGGCCGGATTGGGGGTGGCCGCTCTCCGAAAGCTACCTTTGGAGAGTAGGGACCCTCTCTGGGCCAGAGTCCAATCCGATCGCTGAGGACAAGTAAAAGGGGTAGCTGAGAGGACAGTGCCCGTCTTTCCGCGCCGGCTCCGGGGGCACAAGAACCAGAAAGGGGCGGGTTGGCGCGGGGACTTCCGGAGCACAGCGCGGGTCCTGCGAACTTGTTGGGACCGCGAGCCGGGACAAAAAGACCCCCCCACACACACCCACGCCCGGCCTGCGGGGCCCCCTTACCATCTCCTTGCGCAGCAGGGCCAGCGCGGCGTCCAGGTTTGGAGGTTTGGCTGGCAGCGCCGCGCTCCGGGCCCCGCCGGCGCCGGCGCCCCCGCGGCTCAGCTCGTCCTGGATGCGTGACTTCTGCGCGTACAGCCGCTCCAGGTGCCGCCAGCCGCCCGCCGCGCCGCCGCCCGACGCCGAGTGCAGCAGCCCGCTCAGGCTCTTGGGCAGTGGGGGTAGCCCGTCCACCCGCAGCCCCCGCGCACCGACCCCGCTCATCGCCCCGGCCCGGCCACGAGCCCGCCGGCGGATGCCCGACCGAGGCTCCCCTGCCCCGCCCCCTTCCCGGCGGCGCCCCACCCA